GAGGAGGAGGGGGAGGAGGGGCAGGAGGAGGAGGAGGAGGAGGAGGAGGAGAACAAGCTAGGCGCGCTAGCGTCACATCTGACGTACTACCCCTCCCTCCCATCCCTTACGATGGCTTGGATATCCTATCTATTCGCACAGTCGGATGTCGAGCAGGGCAATGATCCCAAGAGGGTACGCGATGGATGGAAAAGCATGGCTTAGAAGAGCACGGCAGAGTATACCATGTCATAGCACGGCGTGGCATTGCGCAGAGAAGAATTGCACCACAAATCATAGCAACGCCAAGCATGGCATCGCACAGCGGAGCACAACACAGCATCGCCTTGCATGCCGTGGCATGGCACCGGCTGACTTGGAGGGCAAGTGGCCCGCCTACGAGAGGACAGGGCCTGTCCGGAATGCTGGCTCCGTGCCCTCCGCAGCTGTGCCTGCCCGATGTGGGCGCTTTCGAGTGCCAAGTGCCGTCCGGGGGCGCGGGAACGAGGCCAGCGCTGCAGCAGGAGCACGACTTTGAGTGGCCGAAGCGCGGAAATGGAGGGCGGCACGGCAGCGGGAGCACCATTCTGGAAGAACCAGAAGCGACCGGAGTGAAAAAGCACATCGGAACAAAAACAAGTCATAAGGTCCTGTGTGCAAGGGAGGATACGCGGAGAGGGCGGGGCACTCTCTGGACAGAGTCAGGGGAGACAGGAGAGTGGTGTTCATATGGTGCAATTGTCGAGGAGGAGGAGGAAGAGGAGGGAGGAGTGGAGGAGAGAGAGGGAGAAGGGACGGAGGAGCGAAGCGGAGTTGGAGAGAGAGAGAGAGAGAGGGCGGCTCCTTCTCAAGTCCTCTGAGGACCGAGAGCAGCCAAGCCCCAACCCAGTCTGGAGCCCCTGCCCTCCCCCCCCCGCAGAAGTGAGGCTGGTCGGCCGCCTGAGAGGTTGCGGCGCGCGACGTGCGAGCTATCGCCGCGGCGGTCGGAGTGTTAGCCCAAGCTTCGGACGGACCTGGGCAGGGCTCATGTTCAAGCAGTGGCGGAGCGTCCCGCCTATAGCCCTACCAAACAATGGTCTAAGAACATTTTCTGGCGGTTCCCACGACATGTTCTTAGAACATGTCTGGTGGAGGCTGTCTTGTTGTATGACATCGGGCTTATGTTCTAAGTCCATCGTTTTTGTGATTCGAACATTGTTGGGTTCTAAGAGCATTTCGTGGTAGGACTGCAGGAATGCCGGGACGGTCGGTCCCTGCTCAACATGTCGATCCGATCGGTCCAATTCGAGACCAGTGTCGGCCAAGCCGATTCGGTTGCGATTCAAGAGGCCTGCGCCATTCCGCCGACCCCCAAAGGAACGCATAGGCAGGGCGAGAAACATAGAAAACGGCTAGAAGCATGACTTCATAATACCCGATTGGTACGTAGGCTTGAACGTACGGCGTGCGTGAGGAGTAGTTGTAGCAGTAGTAGTAGTAGTAGTAGTAGTAGTAGTAGTAGTAGTAGTAGTAGTAGTAGTAGTAGTAGTAGTAGTAGTAGTAGTAGTAGTACTACTAGTACTAGTACTGGTACTGGTACTGGTACTGGTACTGTACTGGTACTGGTGGTACTGGTACTGGTACTGGTACTACTACGAGTACTAGTAGTAGTAGTAGTAGTAGTAGTAGTAGTGTTGTTGTTGTAGTTGTAGTTAGTTGTAGTTGTAGTTGTAGTGTAGTAGTTGTAGTTGTAGTTGTAGTAGTTTTTGTAATAGTAGTAGTAGTAGTAGTAGTAGTAGTAGTAAGTAGTAGTAGTAGTAGTAGTAGTAGTAGTAGTAGTAGTAGTAGTAGTAGTAGTAGTAGTAGTAGTAGTAGTAGTAGTAGTAGTAGTAGTAGTAAGTAGTAGTAGTAGTAGCAGTAGTAGCAGTAGTAGCAGTAGTAGCAGTAGTAGCAGTAGTAGTAGTAGTAGTAGTAGTAGTAGTAGTTGTTGTAGTAGTTGTAGTAGTAGTAGTAGAAGAAGAAGAAGAAGAAGAAGAAGGAGGAGGAGGAGGAGGAGGAGTAGTAGTAAGCAGTAAGCAGTAAGCAGTAGGAGGAGGAGGAGGAGGAGGAGGAGGAGGGAGATCCCCTAGAGATTCAGTGCGGCCCGATGCTTGCATGGCGCCGTTGTGCGTCCTGGCGCGGCCGATCCGATTCGGTGCCGACTCCGTGCCGATGCAGCCCGATCCGCTGCGCATGTCGATGCTATCTGGTTCGGGTTCGATGCTGACCGATCCTGCCTGGGCTGTCGGGGGCGGCAAAGAGGGGGGTGATGACTGGGGGGGGTGGATATCGTGGCGCGGGCCACGATTTTTCCCCAGATTTCCTGGCGCCTCTTCTCATTTCCTTACGTCCCAGGCCCCCCCGCTGGGCCGCGCACATGCCGCCGGTCATGATTTGCAGCCCCCCTCGTGGACACCCCCCTCCTGGCCGCTCCCGATGGGCTGGTGAGACGGCCTTCGAGCGCCCGGTGCCGCCCGCCCCCCCCCCGCTGCAGAAGCGAGACACGGAGAGCCGAGAGAGAGAGAGCCTGCGCGGACCGCGCGGGGCGCAGCCAACGAGGTGCCAAAGTGGGGGGGGCCACTTTTGGGTCCAGGAGGTGCCCTGGTTGTCGAGCCGCCCCTCGGATACTCCAGATTTCGTCATAAAGGGAGGGGGGTCTCATTTCGGGGGGGGGGTCTCTTCCAGGCTATCTTGGAGGACCTGGGGGGTCTGGGGACGATGTGTTGGAGGGTTCTCCCACGGGGGAGGTCTGAAATGGCTTGTCTTGGAGGGTCCAGACCCCCTCCCTTTTATTTCGAAATCTGGAGTATTGTGATAGTGATGAGGACGAGGACGATGATGATGACGACGACGATGATGACGACGACGACGGTGATGAGGACGAGGACGAGGAGTCCCTGGGGGGGAGGCCTTTCCCCGGCCGAGGCTCGCCGTGGCCAGAGGAGCCCGCTCGTCCCCGACGGTCAACACCGGCGTCCAGGACGGGCCCTCACCGCAAGGGCATTGTGCGTCCTTCGGCCCTGGCCAGCCTGAGCACGTTCGGGCGGAAAAGAGGGGGGTGATGACTAGGGGGGGTGGATATCATGGCGCGGGCCATGATTTTTCCCCAGATTTCATGGCGCCTCTTCTTATTTCATTACGTCCCAGGCCCCCCCGCTGGGCCGCGCACATGCCGCCGGTCATGATTTGCACCCCCCCCTCTTGGACACCCCCCTCCTGGCCGCTCCCGAGTATGCGTCCTTCGGCTCTGGCCAGCCTGAGCACGCTCGGGCGCGCGCACCTCTGGCGTTCGCGCCGCTCCCAGGGCCAAGGGCATCCTTACAGAGTACATGACTCACCGCTGATGTTGGTTGTGCCTGGCCTTCCTAGTGGCTGCACGGCGACGACACGCCGCGACGATCGGGGTGAGAATCGGGACGATCGAAATGTGTACGGAAAGAACGGGCACGATGCCACCCGGCAGTTCCTGTGCATTTTGGACAAGACTCGCTGTCCGCGCCGCCGTGGACGTTGCTCAGTGAAAACGTCACGCCGCCTGCCCAACAGCGGCCGCTGTCGGTTTTGGACGACATTTGTTGTTGGGCATTGTGCCCATTTGTTCCCTACCCATTTCGGGCGTCCAAAGACCCAGACCCTCGACGTCGTGATTTTTCCACCACGTCGATCCCAAGGTCTGGACCCCTTCCCCCAGGAACAGTTTGTCGTCCTGAGTCGTTTTTGGACGGTGCGGGGGCCCGGCGAGGGCCCCCGGAGTCCGCCAATAGCGAAAAACTTACCCCGTCGTGATTTGTTCACAGCGCGAGGGGGTTGGGGGAGAAGCTCTCTCGTCGGACGGACCCGGGCCGACGCGGCCACGCGCAGAGGGGGGGCAGGGGAGGGGGGAAGGCTTCTTGGAAGCAACCCCTGCTTTCTAGTAGCCTGGAAAACCCAACTCCGGGAATCCTGTGTGTAAAAAACAGTACCGGGAGAGGGGGGGGGGGGGAACACTCCAAACCCGTCATCAGGGGAAGGAGGAGAGTAGTATTCATATTGAGTAATTGTGAAGGCTTCTTGGAAGCAGCCTCGCTTTCTAGTAGCCGCCCCCTAGAAGCCGTCCCCCCTCCCCCTGCCCCCCCCCTCCTGCGCGCCGCCGGCCGGTGCGCGACGACACGTCGAGGGGCGCGCCCGTCGCCGCCCCCCGGCCACCACTGGCAGATGTGGTGCCTCGCGCGGCCAACGCTCTGCTCTCCCAGCGCTCTGCAGCGTCGTCCGCACCCTGCTCCTGCGTGTCCGAGCTCCGTGGCTGCCTGCGCGCCCTCCCGTGCTCGCCTGCGTTCCGGCTCTTATGGACACTTTGGTCAGGGGCGGAAAAGAGGGGGGTGATGACTAGGGGGGGGTGGATATCATGGCGTGGGCCATGATATCTCCCCAGATTTCGTGGTGCCTCTTCTTATTTTATTACGTCCCTGGCCCCCCCGCTGGGCCGCGCGCATGCAGCCGGTCATGATTTGCACCCCCCCCTCTTGGACACCCCCCTCTTGGCCGCTCCCGACTTGGGGCCGGACGAAAGGAGGGGATTGGGCAAGGGGGGGTCACGAACTCTGCTGCGCGCGGCTGGTTTCGGCCCCACCGAGGGGCCCAGTCCTCGATACATCTAGCCGCCTCTGGCGCCGAGAGGCGCCGAAAAAAAATCGGCTGCGTGAGCTGATTCTCAAACCCCCCCCTTGGCTATCCCCCCCCTTTCGCCCGGCCCGACACCTGCGCAGGCCTGACGGGAGCCTGCGAGGTCCCTCCTCCTCCTCCTCCTCCTCCTCCTCCTCCTCCTCCTCCTCCTCCTCCTCCTCCTCCTCCTCCTCCTCCTCCTCCTCCTCCTCCTCCTCCTCCTCCTCCTCCTCCTCCTCCTCCTCCTCCTCCTCCTCCTCCTCCTCCTCCTCCTCCTCCTCCTCCTCCTCCCTCCTCCTGCGCAGGCCTGACGAGAGCCTGCGAGGTCCCTCCCGGTGCGTGTGCCCCCCGCCGCCCGCGAGATCACCGTGACCTGGGACCTGCCGGAGGGGGACGAGGAGCCCGAGCCCGCAGGGAGGCGGGGGGGACGTCGCGCCTCCCGCAAGGGGGCAGCGCGCGCGAGGCCGGAGGTGCGAGCCGCGGCGAGGGCGCGCGCTGCGATTCCTGCGACTCGATCCGCTTCGGCTTCGACGGCCTCCGATTCCGATGCGATGCGATTTAGGAGTCATTGCCGATAGGTGGCATGATAGCCCGCCGCGCCCAGGAGAGCGCGGATTCGCCATCGGGGGCATACCGCCGATGCATCGGCGAGGCACCGCCGATTCCAAGTCCACTCCTAACGCTGCCCCCCAGAGCAACACACTAGGAGGAGGTGGGCCCAGATTCTTCCTGGCCATCCGAGAAAAAAGTCACGGAAGGCTATCGGTCCTGTCGGACTCGGGGGGTCCCTCGTGGGCGCCGGGGCCGCCGAGAAACGAGCCAGGGCGAGAAGATCCGGTCCTCGGGGACGGGTCCGGGCCACTCCTAACGCTGCTCCCCAGAGCAGCGCACTAGGAGGAGGTGGGCCCAGATACTTCCTGGCCGTCCGGCAAACAGAAATCACGGAAGGTTCTCGGCCCTCTCGGGACTCTGGGGGGGCCCCTCGTGGGCGCCGGGGCCGCCGAAGAGCGATCCCGGGCGAGAAAATTCGGCCCTCGGGGAAGCTATTTTTTAGCACTGGAGGCCTAAACAACTAAACGAAACAGCCTAAAACCAAGACGTAGAATAGCTCTGGGATAGGTGTTCAAGTCGGGTGCCATTTTTCAAGCCCTCCTGGAAGGTCAGGGCAACGCTCCCCTTCCTCTGAGACCCGACGTCGCGAACGGCATGGCAGCGTCGCCAGAAGTCGCGACCGGAGCCCTGGACCTGGCCTGTCTGCCGCAGCTTTCGAGCCGGATCGATCCGTGCTGGTCCCGCCGGGCATCGCTCGGACGTGTGCATTGTTTCTCGGCGAGAACCAGCGAGGACCAGCCTGGACCACCGAGCAAAAAAAACAAATCACGCGCGAAGCCGAAAAGTGCACGGGAAAAGGACGTCCGAGCGATGGCGAGCTGAGAACCATCGAGGATGAGCCTGGACCATCGAGCAAAAAACACCACGCGCGAAGCCGAAAAGTGCACGTGGGATGGACGTCCGAGCGATGGCGAGCCCCGGGGCCCGAGGCCGGGCGACGCGGGCGAGGCCCTCGGCGGCCCGATGGCGCCCGCCCGGGCGCGCTCCCACGTGGGGCAGCCCGAGGGTATGCTTTTGCCTGCCAGGACGCCTGCCCGGGCAGCCGCCCGCCCACAGAGGGCTGCCAGGACGCTCGGGCCGGGCGAAAGGGGGGGATTGGGAAAGGGGGGGTTACGAAATTTGCTGCATGCAGCTGGTTTCGGCCTCACCGAGGGGCCCATTCCTCGATACATAGCCGCCTCCGGCGCCGGGAGGCGCCGGGAAAATCAGCTACGTGAGCTGATTCTCAAACCCCCCCTTTGTTATCCCCCCCTTTCGCCCGACCCGAGACGCGTCCTGTCTTGGGGCGCGGTTCGACCGGGAGCCCGATGCGGCAGCCAGCCGCGGCGACGAGGGGCGACGCCAGGAGGCCCAGAGAAGACGGATTCGCCTCAGGATTTTGTCATCCCCTCTGTGTCCGCACCCCCCTCTCCACAGGCTCGAGGGGGGGCCCCAGTGTGGTGTCCCCAGGCGACCCGACGCATACCTGCAAGGGCGCGCCCGCGGGGCGCCCGAAGGTACCTCCCCGAGCGCTTCCCTGGGCAGCCCGCTGGAGGTATACCTGCACGCACGCTTCTCCGAGGCCCCCCGGAGGTACCTTCCGAGAGCGCCCACTGTGAAGAGATTGCAGCGTCCAGATCCCCTGGGTCACGGTCAATCCTGGGGTCCTGCGGAAAGGGGGGGTGGGTGGCCTGGCTTCCAGTGCGGCGAGCGAGGGGGGAAAGGAGCAGGAGAAGGCCTTCTCAGGAGGCGGCGGGGCTTCTCAGAGGCCCTCGCGCCTTCTGAGAGGCGTTTTGTGTCTTCGGGGGAGGCTTAGAACACTTTTCACAGGGCCGGGGGACTTCCGAGCCTTCTGAGAAGGCCCGCCCCTTCTCACTTCCCCCCATGGGCTCGCCGCCCAAAAATCCTGGGGTCCTTGGGGGGGGGGGGGGGGCGGCGCGGCTTCCAGGAGCAGGACAGCCCCACCACGGAGGCGTGAGGGGCGCCAAGCCGCTGCCTGGCCAGCTCTGCCCGCTGCCCGTCCTCGTCGTCCTCCCCACTTCTCAGGCGGCGCAGGGGGAGGCCACCACCTCCTCCTCCTCCTCCTCCTCCTCCTCCTCCTCCTCCTCCTCCTCCTCCTCCTCCTCCTCCTCCTCCTGCCTCCTCCCTCCTCCTCCTCCTCCTCCTCCTCCTGCTCCTCATGCTCCTCCTCCTCCTCCTCTCCTCCTCCTCCTCCTCCTCCTCCTCGTCTTCCTCCTCCTCCTCCTCCTCCTCCTCCTCCTCCTACTACTACTACTACTACTACTACTACTACTACTTTACTGCTGCTGCTGCTGCTGCTGGTGCTGCTGCTGCTGCTGCTGCTGCTACTACTACTACTACTACTACTACTAACTACTACTACTACTACTACGACTACTACTACTACTACACTACTACTACTACTACTACTACGACTACTAACTACTACTACTACTACACTACTACTACTACTACTACTACTACTACTACTACTACTACTACTACTACTACGACTAACTACTAACTACTACTACTACTACTACTACTACTACTACTACTACTACACTACTACTACTACTACTACTACTACTACTACTACTACTACTACTACACTACTACTACTACTACTACTACTACTACTACTACTACTACTACTACTACTACTACTACTCCTACTCTCGCCTCCTCCTCTCCTCCTCCTCCTCCTCCTCCTCCTCCTCCTCCTCCTCCTCCTCTTCCTCTTCCCCCTCCTCCTGCACCACAGCCCGAGGCAGACATTAGAGAAGAACCTCCCTCGCCTTAATAGGAACGATCAAGCGAGAGCAACTTTCCCCTGACCCTTGACTCACCCCTTTTCCGTGCTCTCACGGGCCGATCTCTCATCTTTGATGAGACCTGGCAAAATGCAATAATCAAAGAAGGCTGGCCCAACTCATGAGCTCGGCAACGACGCCACCCCGTCTTCCTCTGGCGGCCCGACCAACAAACCCAGCAGGCAGTCTTCTGCCAGGCTGTCGGGAGATGGGAGCGGTGGCGGCACATTCAAGCCCTATGTCCATGTTCCCATTGCTTGACTCCTCTGGGTTTCTCACCCTACAGACCAGGGACACACGGTCGAGCCAGGCAGGCGAAACGTGACATTCTTTGAGCAGCACAAGCCCTACAGAACTATAGACCTCTCAAGTTATCGACCCGGTGTTTGCTATGCATATGTAAGGGACTGTTCTCGCACTCCGTCCTGCAACATTCCATTCGCCTTGCTCTGCTACTCAATCCCAGGCAGGTTACACTTCACCCTTTGCTATCATTATGTTCCAAAGCATGGGAGGTGTCACTGGCCGCCGCGACCCGAACTTCGGCCTAAGCCTTGGCATTAAGGTTGGCCCTGGCAGACAAGTCATTGCTTGAGGTCGCCCCGCACAAATTCTTAGCTTGCTTGGCCACCTCGAGGCCGATGCCGATGAGTCTCTTCTGGACCCTCGGGGCCAGCTGATCCGCCTCCCTAACTTGGAAGACGAGAGAGAGGCAGGGGGTGGCGCCTCCTGCGCCAGCAGCTCTGCGAGGGCATCCGCCTCTTGGTTGGCGTGCCAGCGCTCTGGGGCAGTAGAAACACCGACCTCGGCCTCCCCTGGGTGACTCTTGCTTTTCTTCTTTAATTGTTTTTTAAAAAAGTGCCGCCGTGCTCTTGCGAAGCCTTCCAAAATTCAATCCGCAAATCAGCATTGGAAGCACGCACAGCATCGGCCCGTTGTCGGATGCCTTTGGTGTTGTCGCATCTCTTGCCGTGCTTGCCGGCAGGAGATGCGACAACTTGCTTGCCGGGACTGCTTGCCTCGGGCATCCTACATGTCCCCAGAGAGAAGCCACGACCTCCTGATCGACAAAGACGGCGAACGACCATCCCACTCTTTTCAATCGGGCGTCCCTCGACTGCTCGCCTCCTGACCCGTCAGATCCTATGACTGAGTCTGGGGGTAGCCTGAGTCGGCCTGCATGGGGACATTCTGTTTCAAACTCGGTTTCTTCCGCGGGAAAAGGAAGATCAGACCCTGGCATTGTCCAGAGGGTCGGGACCAGTCCGCGCAGCCAGAAGCAAGGATACGACTGCGCGCCTATCTTCGCTTGCTCGCACAAATCAGAACCTTCACCGAGGTCAGCGACAGTGGCTTTGCAGGGGGATTCCCAAAACTGGTGACACAACGCTTTCCCTGGTGCTCCACACCAGGGGCATCTAGGGTTACCGAGTTTAGTCGCATCTCGTTTACGCTTAGCGGGCCACAAGAAGGCTCCTTGGCTTATCATTTCCAGGGCAGCTGCTAAATCATTGCAACCATTATTACGCAAGCTTTCGAGATGGGCCCAAGTCACAGTGAGGCCAACGACGAAGTCCACCCCCGAACCTTCGAAGTGCTTGCTGACTTGGGCGTATAACCCTTCCTCCAGGGAGGACCCGACCTCGAAATTCATGAGATCTGGCCTTTCAGGGCATTCAGAGCTAATTTGTCCCTCCACATGGTATGGTCCGCTCTCCTGGCGGATTTGGAATCCTATTCATATTCAACAGAGTGGCACGTACTGCTGCTAAATGCCTTCGAACGTGCTGCCAGCGGTTCTCCACCGTCTGCAGTTTCTGTAGAGATTCCTGCAAGGCGACGTGGATCGCCCCGCGCCAGGACGACATCCTAGGGATGTGCGGTTGCCGGCGCAATTGGAGCTCCAAAGGTCCCCAGGAAAGTGGATCGCTGAACTGTCGTAAAATAATCATGATGGCGGCGGTGGCACAACCACCCGCCCCCTTACTTCAACATATCGATGTGGCTTGGGCGCTACGCTGTTTCATGGTAGCTGGCGCAAGGCCGAAGGCAACAGCTCCCCAGGGGACCTGAGGCTCGTGCCCAGTTTTAGCGAGCTTCTTGGCTTTTGGCAAGTCTACCTTCAAACCGACTGGCCTTGGCTCAATGGGAACCTTTTTTCCCACTCGTCCCGCTTTAATCACCCCTTAGTCATAGCACCGATGCTGACGTCTGTGCCCAAGTTCCTGGCCTTTTTATGCCCGCGTTAACTGGAAGGCTCAGCTCCGCGATCTGTTGCCGAAGATCTGCCCGCAGTCGCGGTGAGCTAGCGAGGGACACTGGTTTCTTTGAAATCCTCTATCCATTGGCCTGGATGTGGCTTACCAGCAGGACAGCTACCTCCGTGGCCTGTTCCAGCACCGCTCTGTGGCTTCCAGTATCCTTGCGCCAAATCACCCACCCAACTTCCGATATGGTTTCTAGCAGGTGGGCGTCGTCTGCGGACATCGCCCGGGGCCTTGGATCGGATGCCTCCCCAGAAACACACATCCAGAGACACTCCGAAATGTCCTAGAAGTCGCCCTGCCAAAAGATCGGAAACCTTCGTCTCAGGGTCTGGCCCCGCCTTGCTGGAACTGCTCGGGAGAAAACTTTCTGCTTGCTTAGAGACAAGAACGTACTTCTTTTTTTGTTTACAAAGAAATACTTGTTGCTGGCGGAGGCGCTGCTGGCCTCGCCCCAGACGGAGTAGTCAGCTGGCGCCAGTTGCTCGCGGTCGGCCGTTCGAACGCAACCCCATTGAAGGTCAGGCCCGCGCGCCCGCCGAAGAAAGGGAACCGCAGGCGCAAGCAGCCGAACCTTCACGATTCCTTCTCTGAAGTCCACCGCGCCTCTGGCGCCGATGCGCGATGGTCATGGCCCTGCTCGGTCTTGCGCTCGCTGCATCAAGGCTGCCATTTCCTCTGAAACAACTCCATGGTCAAGAGTTCGCCCCTTGCCGCCTGCATTGGTAAAAGCCCCTGACATAAGACGGCCACCCTGCATTCCAAAGGTCTCGCGATTGCATGTCCGATTCTCCCATGGCCAAGAATATATGTTGTAGTTCGCTTGAAAGTGCCCAGCCAATTCTGCCAGGATAGTGCCATGGTGCCCACCATGCCTTCACTGTCGTTGCGATCGATCGCCACCAGTGCAAAATCCACATGTCGCATTCTAGCGCGTGCAACCCTTTGCGTTCCATAATACTGCGCATACCCATGAATGTTCGTTCTGCAAGGATCAAGCACCCTGGAAGTGATTGCGGTGCGACACAGTACCCATGCATCACCATGTCCTAGAGCACCATCCTGAGCTGTAGGCATTGCTGGACTGGATGTGCACTTCCATCCTGTCTTCCCAAGGTTCTTCTGGACCTGGAGGAGCTGGCCATGTCATAGGCGCGTGCGTGCACGATATCCATGTGTTCTTTGTTCAAGCGTTGGTTGGCCGCGTCGTTCCACTTGGCGTAGGTCGCCGCGTAGAAGATCCGCATATCTGTCTTCTTTGAGGTCCGCTTATTGCTGCTCATACCGCCATTGCAACGCGGCCCCACGGTGCCTGAGACACCTCGCTGCAGCGACCCCCGCCCGCGCGCTGCGGGCTCCTGGGCGCTTGCACTGCATGCCAGTTTTCTTCAGGCGGCACCCGTGGCCGCAGTTACCACCGACTTGGAAATGATCTTCTGCCCTGCGGTCTTGCGGCACTGCTTCGCCCTGCCCGCGCGTATCATCTCTATTATAGCTTGCGACATTGGCGCGGCTGGCCACGAGCAGATTCTCGACATCATCCTTTCGGATTTCGATCTTCGCTGCCCCATGCGCACCCACGGCTGTCGGCGATGGCCCGGGCCCCCCTGATGAAGATGGCGCCCCAGCTGGAGTTGGAGTTTGTTCGCCAAGTGGTTGATCCCGTGCTGGCGTAGCCGTTGCCTCCTCCGCCAGCTTGATCCCCTGCGGTGGTAGCGCGCCTCCTATGTGTTGCCATGCGCTTGCGATATTCTTCCATTGTGCATCTCCGCTCCTCCAGTCATTTGCCGATGGGGCCAATCGCTTGACCGACAAGCTTGCATACGTCGCGCAATCGCCCCTTAGCGCGCTCTTCCCCGCACCCTCAGGGCCGCGGTCGCATTCGCCCGGCTTGAAGCAATCGCCGCCATCGAAGGTGAGGATGCGCCCAGCGTCCTCTTCTTTTTCTATGATGGCAAGGGGACCGGAGAGGTTGATCGTCGCTGCTTCCGCGGCCACGTTCGGTTTCTCCTTGGGCGATTCTTTGAGGAGGTGCTGACGGTGTGTTTTTGCCCCCTGTGCCGCTTGAGCTCCAGCTTGCGTCTCCTCTCCCTCCCCCTCCTCCCCCTCCTCCTGCTCCTGCTCATGTTCCTCTTCCTCCTCCTCCTCGTCCTCCTCCTCCCTCCTCCCTCCTCCCTCCTCCGTCCTCCCTCCTCCTCCTCCTCATCCTCCCTCCTCTTCCCCCCATCCTCCCTTCTTCTCCTCCCTTCTTCTCCTCCCTCCTCCCTTCTTCTCCTCCCTCCTCCTCCTCCTCCCTCCTCTTCCCCCATCCTCCCTCCTTTCCCTCCGTCACAAGCCAACCCTCGCCGATCGCCTCCTGCTCGACACGCGCAGAGTTCAGCGCCTCCTTGGCCTTCCTTGAGCCCGCACGCCCGCGCGACGTCAGCTCTGCTCACACTCGGTGTCGGGCACGATCTCATGTTTCCTGCCCGCGGTAAGCCAAAATGGCTACGGGCTCCTCCTCCTCCTCCTCTCTCCTCCTCCTCCTCCTCCTCCTCCTCCTCCTCCTCCTCCTCCTCCTGCTCCTCCTCCTGCTCCTCCTCCTGCTCCTCCTCAACCTCCTCCTCCTCCTCCCGCGGTGCCCGCGCCCGCGAAAATCTCTGTGGAGGCTTCGAGGTGCATGTTGCCATCCCCCGCGCCTTTTCGCTTCCAACGAACAGCGCTGAGCCGAGGCCTTGAAGAGGTTCCGGGTGGAATTTGCGAAAGGGGACTCCAGGATGGGTTGGCTTCGAGGTGTATGTTGCCATCCCCCGCGCCTTTCGCTTCCAACGAACGGCGCTGAGCCAAGCAAGGCCTTGAAGAGGTCCCGGGTGGAATTCGCGAAAGGGGACACTCCAGGATGGGCTGGCGGCACGCGGCATGCGCTGACGGAGAAAGCACCCCCCCCAGCTCCGAGCCTGGCATTGCTCTTGAACCCAAAGAGACTGAGGCGGTCCTTGCCAGTCTCCCCGCGTTGTTTTGCCGTCATGCCATGGCGGAGGCCTGAGGTGCCCGCTGCACTTCCAGCACCGAGCGCGGGCCCTCCAGTCCCGAACGGCAAGAAGCGCGAGGGCCAGCAGCAGAGCCTCCTTGACCATCGGAGGATGGTTCCGGGCTTTCGCGCTCCCTCATGAGCTCACTGACATAGTACCGTTTCGGCCAGCTGCGGCTGGGGGGGGGGGTCGCCGGCAGGGGCGCGTTTCCCCCACGCCAGAAGGCCAAGTCCTGAGCCGAACCTCTACGGACTTAAGCCAAAATGGCTACGGGCTCCTCCTCCTCCTCCTCCTCCTCCTCCTCCTCCTCCTCCTGCTCCTCCTCCTCCTCCTCCTCCTCCTCCTCCTCCTCCGACCCTTTTCCGCATAAGTAACTCCTCCTTGTCGCACCACGAGACGCGTCGGTAGTGCGGGCGGGGCGTTTCGCCCGAGCATCAGCTTCACGGGTGAGGGCGGGCCGTTTTCAAGTCCTCGTCCTGATCCTCGCCCTCCTCCTTTTGGCCTTCCCTCCCGCTCGCCCAAGCACCGCGCCGCGCCTTCGCCAGCGCACCCTGGGGCCCGAGCGACGGCGCGCGGCCGGGGCACCCACGCCATTGCCGCCGCTGCAGCGCAGGTGCATCGGTGATGCATCGACGATTCGGCGCATTGAGAGGGAGGAGGAGGAGGAGGAGGAGGAGGAGGAGGAGGAGGAGGAGGTCAATCCCCCATCTACGCGACGCCCCAAAAAACGGAGGGGGCGTCTGCGCCGACATTGGCGCGCAAGCTGCCCGCGTAAGCTCGCGCGCGTAGGCGCTCTCGTCTCCAATGCAGTGTGCCGCGCTGACGGCCCGCGTAAGCCGCCGCCTAAGGTCTCTGCGTCATCTCGCGTAAGACACCTCTCTTGGCGTCGCCCATCTGAGAGGCCCTCCTCCTCCTCTTCTTCCTCTTCCTCCTCCTCTCCTCCTCCTCCTCCTCTTCCTCCTCCTGCTCCTCCTCCTCCTCAACCTCCTCCTCCTCCTCTGAGAGGCCCATAGCGTTGTTCGATCTCAGCGTTGTTGCATCGATTGCAGCATCAAAAACGGACCCGGGACGAGAAGTCAGCCCCGGGAGAGCGGCCGGGACCTCGCTGGGGCCGCGAACTGGGCAGAAATCCGGGCTGACGGGCATCAGGGACGACCACCTTCCGGAAGAAAGAGGTCGGTGGGAAGGCCCAGTTCTGCAAGGCACCCCGCCACCGGCCCCCTAACCGAAGTTGGCCCGAGGGTTTACGTCTGGCGGTCACCCCCGCCAACGCTGGGAGCCCCGCAGCGATGCGATTCATACACGCTGACTCCTTTGCCTGCTTCGTTCAAGTTCTTGCCGGGAAGGTGGTAGGGAGCGCCAGTTTCTCTTGTCAGGGAGGCCAAGGGTGAGGATAAGTCGCTCCAGAGCGTTTCGGATCGCTCTCAGAGCGTTATGGAACGCTGTGGAACGGCCGCGGCGCCCGATACATCTTCCAGACCCGCCTGCTCTCGGAGATCTCCCCAGCTCCAAGAGAGATCCCCGATTACCTTCCTCCGAACGTATCCTCATCCTGTCTTCGTCTTACCTTGAGGATCGAGGATTGAGGATCGAGGATCGAGTAAGCTGCTGGACGACATTGGGCCTGTTTGGGAGCGATCTAGAGGGTTCGGGAGGTCCTGAGGGGGCCCCTCTTCGAAAAGGATGTGACCACCCCAGCGGGGACCTTCCTTTTGCCAATTCCTGGAGTTTTGCTTCCCCGTCGGGCGGATTGTTTTTGTTCAGCCGCGACGTTTTGTCAGATTCGGCTTCGAGGGGGCCGTTTTTTCGGGGCCCGCAGGGCCGTCAGAAATGTGCAGGGTAGAGAATTGAAGGCAAGGCCTCTGGGGGCTCCACGTCTCGGAGACCAGAGCAGATAAACATACATGTGCGGAGGTTCGCGCGGGTGTCTCTTGGCATCGCTCGGGCGTGTGCCTTTTTTCTTTCGGCGAGGACCATCGAGGAGCATCCTGGATCATTTGACGAACATCCCACGCAGGAAACCGAAAAAAAACACAGGGAATGGACGTCCGAGCGATGGCGGGTGTATTTCAGGAGAGGAAAAAACACACAGACACAATTAATCTTCGATTCCCCAGGAAAATATAGGAAAATATGGGAAGTAGGGGGGAAGACAAAAACCCAGAAAACATGGGAAAATATGGGGAATATTTTTATTTGTGTGTATTTATTTGTGCGTCCTGGGGCCACTTCAGTATTGGTTCGGCGCCGAAGCGCCCCTGGCGGCACCTCTGGCAGGTCGCCCTCTGGCAAGCGCTGCGCGCGCCACGGGTCCCGGGAGGGGGACCCCGCGCCGACCCGAGAAAGCCGCGGGCACCGCCGAGAGCTGATGCTTACGGTAGGTTCGCGTCGTGTCGACCCGCGGCGACCCCGCCGCCGACGTTCAACGCTGAACGCCGACGGCGGCCCAGAATCGGTCGATGTTGAACGATCGGACGTTGCGGAGACGGCCGATCGTTCAAGGTTGAACGATCCAGCGCGGTGTCGGGAACCAACGCTGGCGTCGGCACGACACGAACCTGCCGTACGCCATGACTCGGCATCGCTCGGACGTGTGCATTTTTTCCTGCGGCGAGGACCATCGAGGAGCATCCTTGATCACTTGGCGAACAAAACGCGCACGAAACCGAAAAAAAAGCACACGGCATGGACGTCCGAGTGATGGCGAGATGATGTATTGTGCTATTGCCCTTGTCAATTTTAACATGCAAAGCGTGTCCCGTGCGAAGTGTCTTGGCGCCGACTCTCCAAAAGATGTCGGTCGGCGTGCAACTTCCGAGCATCGCCGGCCCAGACCGCTTTTCAGTCTGCCTCGACATTGAAGGGGGCGACGTTGAAGGGGGCGAAAGGAAGCGACATTGACGGGACGCGTCAACATTTTATGAGGTTAATTGCGTCGGGGACTGTATGTTTCCTCATCCTTGTTTTCGTTCTCCCCGTCCCTTGCAGGTTCTGTACCCTCTCTCTTTCCCAGAGCCTCTTCTTCCGAGCCAGCCAGGTATACAGTATGCCTCTGGGGTAGGGCTGCGACTTACCTATATTGGAGCTCGCCATTATGGTTACGCGCTCGATCAAAAGAATGCTGGGTTTCTAGGTCCGCCCCTTGCGTTGCATTTCTCAGAGGAGGCTGAGTTGAGACAGTGGCAGTTGGTCTTCGGGACTTCAGGGGGCCTTCTCGTCGCCACGGTTGGACGCAGCTCGGAAAATAGGTGCGCTTGGGCCCCTGGAAGGGGGCCGGCGACCGATTTTGAGTTGCCGTTAGCTCATATCGCCTTGCTCCGAGTTTCCCGTGCCAAGGGGACAATTCCATTCTGCTTACGTGTCTTGCCGACTGCCGTCGCAAGCGCAAGTGGTTGGGTTTCCGATTATGTTCCTTGTATAATCCAACCGCTTCGCGTATTCCGTTCGCCCATCTTGCATCATCATTGTCGATTGTTGCTTCCAAAATTCAATATCCAGCAAAACAGAGCGCGTTGGCAGTGCTGCTGTTCTGTTCGTTCAGTTAACGTCTACACATCATGGAAATCGCATCGAACGCGCAAGACGTTTCTAGCGAATGAGGAAGAGGAGCAGGCCGAGGAGGAGACGAGGAGGGTGTTTCTCCGCCCAGATCGCGCCCGCAGTCGCGCCCGCGTGAGGCCTGGACTCCTCCTGAGCTCAGGACCCCCCAAACCTCGTCGTCGGGCTCACACATGCCGACGAATCACACCATCTGCAGGGATGGGGCAATCAAGATTGAACAGTCGACGCTGGGTTACACGAGCCCGCCGTATGAGGAGGATTGGGATGATGGTGATGATGATGGTGATGATGATGATGGTGGTGATGATGATGATGATGGTGATGGTGATGGTGATGGTGGTGGTGGTGATGACGATGCTGATGGAAATGGTGATGGTGATGATGATGCTGATGGTAATGGTGATAATGATGGTGATGGCGATGGTGATGATGATGCTGCTGATGATGATGATGGCCATGATATGGTTATGGTGATGGTGATGGTCATGTAATGGTGGTGGTGTTGATGATGATGGTGGTGATGATGGTGATGATGACGAACGTGCGGAGGAGGAGGAGGAGGAAGAAGAGGAAGGCTGTCACATGTGACACATTTCGCCTTCACTTAGTGAGGAGCTCAAATGGTACTCGTTTGAGCCGTCTTGGGGTTGCCTTGGCTTCCCATGAGGCGGTCTTGGGGGTCCTTTTAGGGTCCTCTTGGATAGTCGTGGCGCCCTTGTATGCCGTCTTGGGGCTCTCTTGGGTCGTCTTGTTGGCCGTTTGGTGGGCGTCTGGGGGCAGTCAGACGGAAGCCCGAAAGGCGAGAATACGAAAGTTGTCAAAAAAATGTTTTGGAAAATCGATCATGTTGCCTACTGCGGGCCTTGTTACAGGTCCTCCTGTGCCCCTTTTCAGGCGCCCTTTGAGACATCTTGGGCCGCCCAGAGGCCATAGTCGACCGTCGTGGGGCCTTCTTGGCTTGACTTCGAAGTATCTTCAGGTATTGTGGTGTCCATGGTTGTCAGTATGGGCCGTCTTGGGAGCTCGGGGCGCGGATCCATTGATGATGACAGTATCACGCAACTTGGAGTCCGCAGGCTCCCGAATGGGTGGAGGCATCTCTTCACTATAAACCTTCGGACCGAATTTGACGTCCGCATCCCAACTATGAAGGCTGTGCCGCATTGCATACGGGATCAATTTACGTATATTGACACAGTGCTTGGGGACTGTTTCTGGGGTCGCGACAGGGTGGGCACAAGGAAGACATTCGGAGGGGGATTGCATTCGGGTCTCTCCATATCCTGGACCAATTGCGAAGCATGCTTGAGAATAGATCCAACTCGGTCTGAAATCGGTCCGCGTTGTCGCTGGCGTCGTCGTCGCCCTTCCTGTACTTGTAGTTGGTTTTGTGCCGAAACCAGTCCCATTCCCCCCGGTCGAACATACCAATACGGTTCTTCAGCTCGCGCGGTCCCGCGTCCCCTCCATGGGAGGTGTGGTGTAGAAGTAACGAGGTAGCAGACCAGAGAGCTCAGCCATGCAGCCCGAACCTTGACTTCTCCTGGACTTTCCCCTGGAATAGCACAGCTCCGCCACCCACGCCTCCGACCAATCGAACTACCTGAAGATTTACCAGCAACCCCCGTTGATTTCCAACCTGACCTTGCCCTTGTCCTGGACAGAAATATTTTCGTGAATGTTCTCCGGACATCCCGCAGGGGTCTGAGTGCAGGGATGTGGAGGGCACGGTATGTGTTTGGATGATTCAACGGCATTTGGGGTGCTATGTGACGTAGCAGAAAGCATTGTTGAAGCGAAGATTCCATACGGGATTGTGGTTGCGTTACGGATCTCGTCATTAACGATGTTGACGTCCCACAATAAAATCAGAGGTATTGTTTGAGGCGACGCGTCATTGGCAAAACAATTCCAAATTACGAGAAACAGTGGAACCCCATAATTCTGGTTTTGCGGACCGCAGTGGGGTTGATGCATTGGTGGATTTGTTGCAATATTTTACAGATGCACATCCTGTGATGGTGTTGGAGCATTTGATTACATATGTGGTGCCCACATGTTTGAACAATTCATGGCAGTACCTGTCTCAGGGGTCTTCATGCCAAATGGTGGGGCCAGAATATCGGTCGTGTGTACTAGGCGTTCCACATTCCAGTCTGGGATGCACGATCCACCTTCCATCAAGTCTTGTTCCATGCTGCAGCGAAATCTAGATGACTGACTACCTTAAGTACGGCCAATAAGTACTGAAGCGAACTAATTTTCCACGTCGAATTGCACAGCGTAGCGACTCGGTCAACAGCCGGCTTGGGGGCACCGCGCAATAAGAAAGAAAATTCTGTAAAGAGAGAATGTTCAATAAATTCGTTTTTTTCTCAGCAGTTGTCTCGCCGAATGCATGCTTCTCAACAAAATGATATTCTCAAGACTTTGACGCTTCGCTCCGGGAGCGATAAATTTCCAAGCATCCAGTATTTTCGGCCAAGTCGGGAGGGCAAGGTTCAGGGTAATGCCCCCGCTCGGCCAATTTGCTCATATGTACGTGGATACGGCGAGCATTAGATAGATAATCCGTGCTAGGTTACCGTCGGGAGCTGAGATTTTAGCAGATTTAATATTTACCCGCCATGCGATCCAAACGATGTCGCAACGACATTGCATAACGCACGAAACGTGTCACGTATGTGCCTCGATGGAAAGCCAAACAAAAATCGTTGGTATAAGCGCATCCCCGTGATCCCCACTGTCCCCCTTTATTCGTACCATTGCCAGGCGAATGGAACCAGAATGCGTGCCTCATATTTTGATTTGGTAGCTCTTCGCTTCAATGTTCATGGTGATTGATTTATTTACTTGTCTTATATGATACATCTACACTCCTGGAGTGGCCTCCAAATCGGGAATTAACAATGATGAAGTTATTACACTTTCACGCTTTGTAGCGTAAGCCGGAAAGGAATGTTTTGGGCCTGTTACACCGTTGGGCGGGGGCGGTGCGAACTGCTCTTCACTCTAAAAGTCTTGCTTGAGATATTTCGTGAAGTGGCGTGTTTTTGATCTTCTTTCTCATGCGAAAAGTTGTTTCGTGTAACCAACCGCCAACCGTTTCGTCTCAAATAAGTGTTAGGATTGCTTCGACATTGTGTTTGCTCCCTCGGATGTTGCTGCATCGGACTTACCACGGTGGGAAAGCAGGCGAACGGGAATTGAAACAATGCATTGCTATGTATGATCGGGGAGAGTGGGGTCGCCTATTACAACATGCGGAGGTGTCAGCACACAAACCACGAGCGCATAAGGAAGACAACGATAAGAACCGCATTGAGAATGCCATGAACCTTATCAAACAAGGGGAACTAAGCCATGCTGCGCGTAATCTTACGTCACCAGGCCTAGCATCAGGCACACCAAGTACATTGGCGGAGCTGTCGAATCGGTCCCTGCGGCCCCGCGAACTTGCCGAGCCCATGCCTGATGGATTCGCAAATTTCATGCCGGCCACGCCTTTGACCTTAAATCGCAATGTGTTTGCGACGGTATTACGACAATCTAGAAAAGGTTTGTGGGGATGGCGGTATGAATGTTTCAAATTGCGCCTGGAAAATAATGCTGCATTTGATATTCTGCGCGACGTGGCGGAACGATTGGCGAGAGCAGATCTTCCACAGGAAATCCACGACATCATGCGGATATCGGCGCTCATAGCTTTGAAAAAACCGAACAAGAGAATACGAGGTATCATCTGGAGATACATTTCGGCGACTGGCGAAATCCCTTGCACGACAATTCCAAACAAAATTACGCAACGCAGTGTGGCCGCACAACTACGGGCTCTCAGACCGGAGTGGCACCGACGCTGCAATACATGTCCTGAGGTTTGTGACGGACAGGTTTCCCCAAAAGGTTGTGGTCAGCATCGATAGTGTGGGAGCGTTCAACCACGTATGTCGGGCCCGTATGTTTAGAGGGCTCCAACAACATCCGACGCTGCACCATTTGATTCCATTCGTGCGACAATGGTATGGGCGTTCCGGTGGCGGGATCAACACAACAATGTGCACCTGATCCAACAGGGTGACGGACGTGAACAAGGAGATGCGCTCATGCCTGCATTAGTTTGCTTGGCATTGCATCCCGAGTTGGTGCACGTACGAGCCCACTTACCGCCAGGAGCAGAAGTTTTAGCGTATTCCAACGACGTGCATTTGGTTTGCGACCCCGACGTAGTGCAATACATCCTGGCATTGACAGAGCAAGCATTGCGGGATATCTGCCATATCGCTACCAACATTAGGAAGTTTGCCATTTGGAGGACCACACCTCAAAATCTGGTGGGGCCTGCGGCATTTGTATGGAGATGTGACAGGTCATGGGAGGAAAAGGGGCATCAAGATATTAGGTATACCGTTTGGACCGGCGGAAGATTTCAATACGTTTTGAACTACGATTGCTAGCGAGGGGGCGAAGCTAATCAATTTCATCAATGAGCTCTCCTCTTGCCGCTCTCCTCTTGCCAAGCTTCGTGGTTACTATTGTATTACTGCGCAGTGCTACG